GTGACCTGGCATGGACGACCCAGTATTTACGGCAGAGTACGCTGTGTGTCAGCTGGGATCCCCCGTGCAGCGTCCTTTGATGGGCATCCCGCACCAGCAGCAATGATAAGGCGTTATTTCTCGCTAGGATCACGGGGTGTCGTTCATCGTATGAAAGCGAGGCGCGTTCCAAGCGGCCACCAACCCTAAGTAAGCCGTCTGGTCCAAGTATGGGACGCAGAGCCGCTAAGGGCGATCTCTTGGGCAGTGATGCGCCTGTGGAGAGTCGTTCAATCTCCCTGGCGTAGTCCTGCGCCTGGGCGATCCGAAGCCATCGTAGAAGGCTGTCGTTAAGCTCAGCGGTTGAGAGACCGTTGTTCCGCGACGTGTTCGGCCTCCTAAGAAGTCTAAGGCAGAAGGCTGAAATTCTTATTAATTTAGTCAGAGAGGAGAATCGGTCGAGTAACTCGTTTCTACCCCCGGTTGGTTGAACGACAGTAGTGAGGACTTGTCACTCCTCGCCTCCCTCCTCGCCTCGCGCGTCGCACGGCCAGCACTCGCTAGGGAGCTCGAGCCATGGCGGACCTTTCCACCACAAGCGTAAGTTCGCTAATTCGGTGGGTGTAAGGCCTCTTGTGGCTGCGTCCGCCGGATTCTCCGCTGTGGACACGTGTCGCCAGCATCCGGCTGGGACAATGTCGTGTATTGCAGCTACTCGGTTGGCCACAAACGGCTTCCAGCGTGATGGATGTCCCTGCTGCCAATGGAGTACCACTCTGGCATCCGTCCAACCATATAGGCGGTCGCCCGGGATGTTGAGACCTTTGGCGGCGAGCGAAAGAAGTCTAGCCGTTAGCAGAGCCCCGCAGAGCTCAAGTCTAGGGACTGATAACGGCTTCACCGGCGCTACCTTGGTCTTTGCCACCAAGAGACAGGCTGCTACCTGGCCCGCTGGTCCTGGTCCACGCACGAAGACCGTGGCTGAGTACGCTCTCTCCGATGCGTCCGAGAAGCCGTGTAGCTGGACGGAGGACAGGTCCGACACTCCGGTTCATCGAGGAATTCTCAGGCCCTCGAGGTCCGGCAAGGCGGCGGCGAATCGTCTCCAGCGCTCCTCCAGAGGTGGAGGTAATCGCTGGTCCCAATCCAGCCCGTTAGTCCAGAGATCCTGGATGAGGATTTTCGCCCCGACTAGTGCAGGTGCGGCCCAGCCGGCGGGATCAAACAGTCGCGCTACGTCCGACAGGATCGTCCGCTTGGTGGGCGAGTCCAAGGATGTTAATGCCGGGACTGCGCGTAGTCGTAGAGTATCCTGAGTAGGAGTCTAAATGATGCCAAGCGCTCGAACGCAGTCAGTTCTGGTGAAGAGCCGCTCGGTGGAGGGCCCATCATTCGGTTGGAGAGCGGCGTGCGAAGCGGCCCATTTGCCCAGCGGGAAACCGCCGGAATTGAGCAGTCCTGCAGTCTGCCGCTGCACCTCCAGGGCGTCGTCGATTGTGCTGGCGCCTGCCAACACGTCATCCACGTACATGTGTGAATGTACGACTTGTGCACCCCGCGGAAAACGTGAGCTCTCGTCTCGTGCAAGTTGCAGCAGTGTGCGGTGGGCCAGATACGGCGCTGAAGCCGTGCCGTAGGTGACCGTCGTGAGGCGATAGTCCAGCAGCCTGCCAGACGGATCCGCCCGCCATACAATGCGTTGAAGGTCCGCATCGTCGGGATGGATGCGTATCTGGCGGAACATCTTGACGATGTCCGCGGTGAATGCAAACTGGAAGAGTCGCCATCGCGTGAGAACAAGCCAAAGGTCCGCCTGCAGTTTCGGGCCCGGGAGCAGCAGGTCATTGAGAGAGGCTCCAGAGGACGTGCGAAACGATGCGTTGAAGACCACTCGTATTTTGCCTTCAGGATCCGACTGCTTGACAACGGCGTGATGCGGCATGTAGTATACCCCTCGACGCGCGTCGTCTTGAGCGACGTGCTCCATGTGGCCTAAGGTAAGATAGGAATCCATGAACTCCTGGTACTTGGTTTTGAGCGGTGGGTTCCGCTCTAGGCGCCGCTCTGTTGAGAGTAGCATCTTCAGAGCGCCGGGTCGCGACTCGCCAAGGCCGACGGAGGATGTCGTCGTGCGAGGCAAGCGGACTATGTAGCGCCCCTCTGGGCTGCGAGAGTGAGACTCCGCGAATATCTTCTCGCACTCAGCGTCTTCCGGAGTAGGCACGGCGTCTCCCGAGACCTCCTCTATCTTCCAAAACCGCCGTAGTTCGGAATGGAGATCCTGAAGGGTGATAGCGTGATGGACAGCGGCTGTGCTTCCTGACCATCGTGTTCCGATATCGGCCCCATGAGCACCCATCCGAAGACCGTGGAATGAGCGGAGGGGTCTCCTGTGGCGCCTCGCTTGACGCCACCTTGAAGGAGAAAACCATAGACGTCCGCTCCTAAGACGATATCAACTTTAGACGGTTGGTCGAACTCAGGGTCGGCCAGTTCGAGCCCGCGCAAATGCGGCCAATCTCCTCTCTGAACCCGCCTTCTCGGAGTGAGCGTGGTAAGCCGGGGTAGTACTAGGACCCGCGGCAAGGCGACGCGCATCGAGGGGGAACGGATAGATCCGACCAGCAGTGAGACTGAGTGGGTCGCGCGACCCGTGTTAACGCCTTGTAGACCGCAGACGGTTACGTTGGCGCGTCTTCTTGACAGCTTGAGCTGTTGAGCTACGCGCTACGAAACGAACGACGCTTCAGAGCCCGAATCGAGCAGTGCGCGGGCGGTTACGCTTTGTCCAGCGTCTGCGTAAAGCTTGACGATGGCTGTGGCAAGCAATACGATGCCCGATACAGAGCTCGACAACGCGGTGACCTCTGTGGGGTTACTTGAAGGGCTCGGCTTGTCGCTCGCCGTAGAAGCGCAGGCCGGCTTGTCCGCCTTGGGATGAACCGCTTCTGAGCTACCGCCGTGCAGCAACGTGTGATGAGGTTCGTTGCAGAGACGGCATCTGTTGCTGGAATGGCACGCCGCGGCCACGTGGCCTTGCCCTAGGCAGTTCGAGCAGGCCTTTCGTTTGCGGACCTGTTCGCGTCGATTTTCGACGGAAAGAGCCTTGAACTTCGTGCACGAGCGCATCGCGTGTTGCTCCCGACAGAGGGGACAAGAGATGCTCTTGTCGTTGGATCCAGTGGACGTCGCGTTCAACGATACGTCATCTCGGCGGCCGGAGCGCCTCGGTTTCGCTGTCTTTGCGGCAACCGGTTGAACGCGAGGGTTGGCTGCGTCGAGGGCGCGCGCGCGAGACGACAGAAAGTCCTTCAGGTCAGAGAACGACGGGAAGTCCTGGCTCAGTTCGCGAGAGGATTCCCAGAGCAAACGCGTTGATGAATCAAGCTTCTCTATTAAAATATGGACGAACCAATCGTCCCAGTGATCGACCGGACGGCCCATGGATTTGAACGAGCGTTGAGCTTGATTCACGGTGCTTACTAAGCGATTGATTTCCGCGGCACACGGCTTTGTGATCGGCGTGGCAGAGAGCAGGGCACGCATGTGTGTCGCCATTAAAACGCTCTTATTATCGTAGCGAGAGACAAGCTCCTCCCACGCCGAAGTGTAACCTTGTGCGGTAATTTCGATATTCGCGATGACAGCCGCCGCGTCGCCCGTCAGATTGGCCTTCAAATATTGGAGCTTCTGAATCAGAGCGAGTCCTTCGACGTCATGCACGAGCGACTTGAATAGGTCTCGGAACCCCTCCCAGGCTAATTGATCGCCGCTGAACGTAGGCAAGTCAATTTTTGGGAGTTGAATCTGTCGCAGCACTGTGGACGCATCGCTCTTGCCGCCCGCCGTCTCGGGCGCTTTTGGAGCCGGCATGCTAGACGCGATGCGCGCCTTGGAGCCGAGGTAACTGTCTTCCGTCGCGGTGTAGATATCCTGTTTGACGTAGTCGGTAGATCCGAGCGTCTCAAAAGCCAGTAGCTCGTCATGAGTTTGCAAAAAACGCGTCCAGTAACACTCGAGAAGATCCAAACGCGCGACGAGGTAAGGTCGCGTCATCTTATCCCTTCCGATCTTGACGAGGTTGTCCCAGAAGCGGCCGATGTATCCCGCGGTAGAGAGCTGTCGCTTCAGCACGGTCTCCATTTTAACGAGATCGGCGAGAGGAGTTTATGAAGTATAAATGTCCTGGTGTCTGTGTAACGAAGGTCGGAATCCTGAGCTGAAGTCACTTGTAGCGCGGCGCGCGCGAGTACAGTACGCGACCCTTAGGCGCGGAGAGCGCGGTACGCGTTACCTAGGGCGCGGTAAGCGCGGAGCGCGGTGCGAAGCACTCTAGGCGCGGTAAACGCGGAGCGCGGTGCGAAGCACTCTAGGCGCGGTAAACGCGGGGCGCGGTGCGTAGCACTTGGGCGCGGTGCGTGCGGAGCGCGGTGCGCGACACTTTAGGCGCGGTAAACGCGGGGCGCGGTGCGTAGCACTTGGGCAGCGGGCGCGCGGGTCGGGTTACCCGCGGCGATTGCGCAACCTTGGGGTTGCTGGCTCACCCGACGATCTTACCGCTGTTTTTTTTTACGTGTCTTTTCCCGCGCTAGAGGGCTTCCGGAAGGTGATGAATCGGTACTCACCGTTTTCGCGTTTAAATTGTTCGTTCTACGTGTAGGTGCACGAGGCAAGGGTTTGTTTCGTGATCCTCCGCCTGCTCCAGCATCCGGCTCGAAGGACCAAATGTTCGCTGCTCTCCCAGCGAACGCGCTAATCGCTCGGTTAGAGTCAGGCGATAAGGAAATGGACGGGCAGGGGAGGCCGCACGACACTTGAACAAGTCCGGGTAATACTGAAGGAGAGCGGCAACCTCACCGATCTGACTGTAACTTAGCAATATTGTGTATTTCGATGCGTAAAACACAACTGCAAAAGTAAAAATCGTCGCTCTGCCACAGAAAAAAAGTTATAACGTGTTGAAAAGTGACGGTTTTGGGGTTAGGATACCTGTCGTACCGACACGAACTGGCGCTATATGGGTGCGGCGCAGACTGACCGAGCATGCGTAGTGACGTAATAGTGCATGAAATTCGAAGCGATGCATGTCCGAATAGTAAGTTAGGAACATCTGTATGTATGTATAATGATTGTTTTGGTTAATGGAGATTCGATACACAATGCAGCTGCATAAGTTTTTAGCAATAACGCACAGTAGGGAGGAATTAATAGACTTCTTAGTCGAACATAATGTAATTACTAAGGAAATACAGTGTCCAAAGTGCAATAACAACGTGAAAGTAGACAAAAATAATCTTTTCTTCCTTTGTACCAAAGTATTTTATGAGAAGAATAAGCATAAGAAACGTGTGAAAAAACTATGTGCGTTTAAAGCAAGTGCAAAATTTGATACATGGTTTAACAAATCTAAATTAAGCTTGGAAACAATATGCAGAATGACTGCATATTTCATAATATTACGGCCTCCGAGACATAATTTTTTATGTACGGAGCTCGAACTTTCCGAGCATTCGGTTGTTGATTGGATTTCTTTTTGCCGAGAAGTATAATTTCATATATGTTATGTAATACTTTGAATATATTAATATATTTATGAAATTTATAATGTAATAAATGATGTAGGTTTGCATATATTGGGCCAAAAAAAATTCAACTAAACTTGGAGGGCCAGATAATATTGTTGAAATTGACGAAGCAAAATTCGGCAAAAGGAAATACAACTGTGGCCGAATTATTAAGGGCAAATGGGTCTTCGGTGGATTTGAACGTGAAACAAGAAAAATCTTTCTTGTACCAGTTCCAGATCGCACAGAGAAAACACTGCTTGCCTTTATAAAAGAATGGATCCTACCTGGGACGACGATAATTTCAGATTGTTGGAGGTCTTATGATTGTTTGAACAGTGAAGGCTTCCAACATTTGAAAGTTAACCATTCGATGAATTTCGTCGACCCAGAGACTGGTAAGTATAGATATTTAAATATAAAAAACCGTTTACTGTACACGTCAATATTAACTTCTATTTATATATTATTCAGGAGCCCATACTCAACATATAGAACGCGTTTGGAGAGAAGTAAGAGCTAATGTTCCTCGATATGGAGTACGTGAACCTCACTTGCTAGGATTTTTAGCTGAATATCTTTTCAAGCGCGTTCACAAATATGAACAGCGGTTAAGCAGCTTTTTCAGTGTGATTGCAGAACTATATCCACCGAAGATCTTAAACGAAAAAACAGACGTCTCGGAGGCTGTAACAACATAATTTTAGGCCTAATTTATATTTGTTAAATCAAGTATAACATTTGGAAGAAAAGATTATTTTTTGTTTATTTTTACTTTGTTGTACTTTGGGCAATGTATTTTATTATTTATTATGTAGGAGAGTAAGATAGTGGTTCCCCAAATTTCCGAGCTTGAGGTGCGCTAGGGGACACGAGAGATGGCGTGTGCGTGCCCGGAGACAGAGAGAGAAAGAGAGTGAGAGTGAGTGAGAGAGAGTCAGCGAGCGGTGTGTGTGCGCGTGCGAACAAATAGTAGTACGAGTACGTGTAGCATAGCGAGACGAAGCTCGTCCCAGCGAGATCCAGCGGGATGTAGCGAGACATAGAGAATCGAGAGCATCGTGAGTCGTAGAGTATTGTACGCATTGTGAGTCGTAGCGTATCGTGTGTTCCGTGAGTCGGGATACCGTGAGTCGTAGAGTATTGTACGCATCGTGAGTCGTAGCGTATCGTGTGTTCCGTGAGTCGGGATACCGCGAGTCGTAGAGTAGTGTACGCATCGTGAGTCGTAGCGTATCGTGTGTTCCGTGAGTCGGGATACCGCGAGTGGTAGCGTATTACGCATCGTGAGTCGTAGCGTATGGTGCGTATCGTGAGTCGTGCGCATCGTGAATGTCGTGCGTATCGTGAGTCGTGCGCATCGTGAATGTCGTGCGTATCGTGAGTCGTGCGCATCGAGGGCATCGTGAGTATTGAGAGCATTGCGAGTATCGAGAGAGCCGTGCGTATCGTGAGTCGTGCGCATCGTGAGAATCGTGCGAGAGAACTGTGTGTACAGAGCGTGCGTCGCGAACTGTATCCGAGCATTGACGATGAACATTGTGACATATGATTGTGACATTAAAACGCTTGAAAACGAGACTGTGTGTGCTTGATCGAAGCCTCTTCAATACGTTCTTCATATCCTGTAATATGGCCCTTCCGAAATAAGAGGAGGGGCCAATCCTACAATTATATTATTTTAGAACAAATAATTTATTATTTATCTTTTCAAGGCATAATTTCCGAACACTTGTACCCCCTGCTTGTGTGTA